TGGGGCACGCCGTGGGCTCCGCCAAGCAGAACCTGCCAGCAGCGAGGGCGGACGCTGGCGCGCTCGAATCGCCGACAGGCCGCGCCGGGCCATGGGCACACTTGAAGGGGCCCCAGGGCACACAAATAAATACGCACAAATAAACAGATTCCCTATGATTTCCCATATTTTCGGGGTTCCTGTCTTCCCCCCCCACTTCCCATCTTTCCCCATATTTTCGGGGGGATCGACGATTCATTGTGTCTGTATGTTTTTTCCCTCCTGAACACTGGACTGCTGGAGGAGAGGAGGGCGGCCGCGCGGGAGGAAAAGGGGAGAGCGGCCTCAGACGTACACATCGTTCAGTTCTAATCGTGCTCATTTCTAGCTGTGCTCGTTTCTAATTGTTCCTGGCCCCCTACGGGCCAGGAAGAGGCACAGGATAGACCAAGTAGAAATGAAGGGATCTTGGCCCACCAAAAAAACAAGGAATTCTCGAAGAATAGAAATGAACAGTGTGTAAAGAGTGGACGCCTCGACACAGTCAAAGAAGCTTGGCCACCTTTGGAGCACTCGTGCTCTGCTGTTGGCGGTCTGCGAGCGGCTGCTGCGCGAGACGGGGAGCGCCCAGCTCTGCGCACCGATCCGGGGAGATCCTTCGTGTGGCGGGGTGCCACCATCCCGCGACCGTGGCCCCGGAATCCTTGCTGGCACGAGCGCGGCGACCTCGCGGATGGTGATCACGTCGCCCCAAGTCGAAGAGGCACGAATCTTGAACCGCAGCCACGCGTACACGTGATACGGAGGGGGAGGAGGAGGAGGAGGAGGAGGAGGAGGAGGAGGAGAGGAGGAGGCGGAGGAGGAGGAGGAGGGAGGAGGTGAAGAAGAGTGTGGGGAGAGGGAGGGGAAAGCAGAGGGGGAGAGGGAAAGGGGGGAGAGGAGGGGAGAGGGGAAGAAGGGGGAGAGGGAGAGGGGAGGAGGAGGAGGAGGCGGAGGAGGAGGAGGAGGAGGAGGAGGAGGAGGAGGAGGAGGATAAGAGGAGGAGGAGGAGGAGGGGGAGGGGGGGAGGGGAGGAGGGAGGGGATAGGGAGGGAAGGCAGCGGGGGAACAAGACGACGCTCGGCAAAGCGGGGCACCTCTCCCGAAGCAGCGCGGCGCGTGCCGCCCAACGGTGGACGGAGCTCGCGCTGGACGCTCCACGCTTCGCCGGCTGCCGTCATCGACGCTGCCGGAGAAGACTTGTCCTCCCTCTTCCTCCCCCTTTCCTCCTTCTCCTTCTCGTCCTTCCTCCTGCCGCTCCTCTCCCCCCTCCCCCCCCCCTTCCCCCTCCTCCTTCCCCGGCTCCTCCCCCTCTCACCCGCCCCATTCACGCCTCCCCGCCTTGCCTCCTCTTTATCACCGTCCTGGATTAGGTTGCTCCCATCGTACTAAAGGACCACATGCAAGAAATAACTTCGAGCACCCAGAAAAGTGTCGAAAGAGTGTCGAAACAGCGTCGAAACAGTGTCGGACGAGTGTCCCACAGGGCCCGACACGTGAAAACCCTCGAGTTTCGATACTTTTCTGGTGCTCGGAACTCCTTCTGGTGAGCAAGGCTAAACCAGGTTGGAACATCAGCATGCCTGGATCCCACCTCCCCCCTCCTCTGCGGGGGGATGGGAGGGCCAGGAGGACCTCTGCTCCCCGGACCTCTCCCAGGATGCGTTCCGACGGGGCCGACGGCGCGCAGAAGTGACCCCGGGCAAAAAAGGTCTTACGCCTGGCCGACGAGGACTGCTCGGCGAATGCCAGCCGTGGCAACCGGGGCCCTCGAGGACGAGCAGCGGTATCCGCACCTGTTCCCCTGACCGTCCGCCGCTGCCGCCGTCGCCGTCGCCGTCGCCGTCGCCGTCGCCGCCGCCGCCGCCGCCGCCGCCGCCGCCGCCGCCGCCGCCGCCGCCGCCGCCGTCGTCGTCGTCGTCGTCGTCGTCGTCGTCGTCGTCGTCGTCGTCGTCGTCGTCGTCGTCGTCGTCGTCGTCGCGCGGCGGGCGGCCGTGGCGGCAAGGGCGGCGGCGGCAAGGACGGCGGCGGCAAGGTTGGCGGCGGCAAAGACGGCGGCCGCCGCGGTGGACCCCGCGGAGCCTCCTGCGGCGGAGCACCCGCAACCGTGTCCGGCGCGGGCGAGGCCAGGGCCGCTGCAGGCGAGGCGGGCCGCTGCGGCGAGGCGCTGCAACAGGCGGGCCTGCGCCAGGGAGGCCAGGGAAGGAGGAGGAGGGGAAGGAGGAGGAGGACGAGGAGGAGGAGGAGGAGGAGGAGGAGGAGGAGAAGGAGGAGGAGGAGGAGGAGGAGGAGGAGGGAGGAGGAGGAGGAGGAGGAGGAGGAGGAGGAGGAGGAGGAGCGGAAGAGGAGGAGGAGGAGGGAGGAGGGAGGGAGGGAGGAGGGAGGAGGGGGGAGGAGGAGGGAGGAAAAGGAGGAGGAGGAGGAGGAAGAAGAAGAAGAAGAAGAGGGGGAGGGGGAGGAGGTGGAGGCGAGGGAGGAGGACGGAGGAGGAGGAGGGAGAAGGAGGGAGGATGGAAGGACGAGGACGGATGAGAAGGAGAAAGAGGAGGAAGAGGAGGTGGGAGGAAGAAGGGAGAGGAGGAGGGAGGAGGAGGGAGGAGGAAGGAGGAGGAAGAAGAGAAGAGGGGGGAGGAGGAGCAGAAGGACGAGGAGGAGGAAGAGGAGGAGGGGGACAAGGAGAAGGAGGAGGAGGAGGAGCAGAAGGAGGAGGAGGAGGAGGACCAGTGTAAACCCAAGAGTTATCAACGTTGTTGGAGTAAACCCTCCCTCCAAGCTCCCTTTTCACAAGTCCCTACAACGGTTCATTTCCGCTGGGGGAACTGCCTCGTTGGAAAACCATCGTTTGAAGACCCTGAAGCATGCCAAAAAATTGCACTCGGGATTTCAACGCCACGGATCAACCTGATTGTTGCGTCTTGACGATCTTGAACCGCGTCATAACACCATTCCTGGGACTCCAACACCGCGATTTAACGTAATTGTTGCATTATCCTAATTTTGAGCCCTTCCGAATCACCGCTTCTGGTACGCTGATCATGGGAATATGCGAAATCATTGCAAATGTTGAAAACACATGTGCGCGACGCTGGGCGAGAGCCACATTTTGAAAAGGAGCCGCCCACATTTCGTGAAACCCTTGCAAATGCTTAGCACGAATGCACACGGCGCTAAACCGAGAACAACAGTTTGAATACCACCCGCCCTCAATCCGCGAAACTCCTGCAAATCTTTAAAGCGAATGCGCGCGGCACTAAAGCGAGAGCCGCATGTTAAAAACCACCCGCCCTCAATCCGTGAAACTCCTGCAAATGTTCAAAATGAATGTGCGCGGCGCTGAAGCAAAAGCAACATGTCGAAAACCACCCGCCCTCAATCCGTGGCACGACTGCAAATTGTTAAAGCAAGTGTGCGCGGCGCTAAAGCGAGAGCCATATTTTGAAAACCACCCGCCTACATGTGTGAAACTGTTGCCAATGTTTATTTAAGCTTCAGAATCATAAATGGCGAGGAAGTCTCAGGCGAAACGCCTGGCCCACCCTAAAAACTGGCCTCGAGGTGCGACAGGGATGAATTATTCATAAGGAAAAAATGGAGGAGGAGGGGGAGGAGGAGGAGGCGGAGGAGGAGGAGGAGAAGGGGGAGAAGAAGGAGGGGGAGGAGGAGGCGGACGAGGAAGAGGAGGAGGAAGAGGAGGAGGTGGCGGCGACGGCGACGGCGGCCAGGATGAGGAGGACAAGGCGGCGACGGCGAACGCTCTTGCAGCACGCCGCGGCGCTGTTGCAGCAGCACTGCTCGCAGCAGGCGCCGCCTGCGCAGAAGGCAGTCCGCGTGCCGGTGGTTTCCATGCGGCGCGGTGCAAGTCTGGGAACAGGTCCGCTAGAGCTCCGAGGGAATCTCAGGAGCCTCTGGAGTTGCAGGTCACTCCGAGTCGTGCGGACGCAGGGCCGGCTCATGTTGAAACCGGCCAGCCTGGAGCACTAGCCAGGCTGACGTGCCAGCGCGGGAAAGGGGATGAAAGAGAGAGAGAGGGAGAGAGAGAGAGAGAGAGAGAGAATGCCCCCAGGGGCCGAAAGAGACGGAAAGCCAGATGTCGCGATTTTGCTCGAGACGCTGGATCCAGGGATCAAGACTGACCCCCGACCCATCCCGGGGTGCGATCCAGCCGTGGCGACCAGGGCACCCTAGGGCGCCGGGGAATGGCCAAACGCGTTCCCAAACCTCCCGCCTTGATACTCGAATCCGTGTAGGAGGAGAAAAAGGAAGAAGAGCAGGAGGAGGAGGAGAAGGAGGAGGAGGAGGAGGAGGAGGAGGAGGACGAGGAGGAGGAGGAGAAGGGGGAGGAAGAGGAGGAGAAGGAGGGATGAGGAGGGGGGAAAAAAAATGAGGAGGAGGAGGACGACGACGAGGAGGACGAGGAGGAGGAGGAGGAGGGGGAGGAAAAGGAGGAGGACGAGGGGGAGGAGGCAGAGGAGGAGGTAGGAGGAGGGACGAGGGAGAAAGAAAGAAGGAACAATGAGCATCTGAGAACCATCACGATGCGAAGCGAAAACTAACTACGAGCACTTTCGAGCGAGCTTCTCGGCCTTGCTGAAAACTGTTGGCCATATATCGGACTCGATCCGGCTTAGATACTCGCTTCGGATCGAGTTCGGGGTCCCGAATCACCATTGGCCCAGGTTCCTGAGCACATTACACGCGTAAGGGAACACAGCTCTCACAGAGCCAGAGCTTCAAACCAGAGCGCCGAAGCATTCGATGACTGTCGTGGACCCAACCCCGCAGTGTGATGCAAAACTTCCCGATAACGCTTCGAAGCGACCATCGAGGATTGTAGGGTGGTAGCACCTGCTGTCGGGCCGCTCGCCCCGAATGGCTCCGAATGACAATGTCTGCCACAAGCCTCGACGATATGATTGCTGGCAGAGAAACTCACAGTGGACGGGGGCCGGGGGAGGAGGAGGAGGTGGAAGTGGCTTCCACTCCTGTCTCCCCTCGGGCCCTGCAGCTTGGCCAGCTCCGCCTCGGCGTCCACGGCGTCCATGGTGGCTCGGACCAGTGTGAACCTGACCTGATGGGCCTCCGCTTCGACCCTCCTCATGCGGTGCCTGTCCAGCTCCGACACTCTTGCGGCCTGGGCCGCCATTCCAGCCAAAGCGTCGGTTGCGGCATTCCCCGCCGCGATGCGACAAGGCGCACGACCCGCAACAACATCGTCCGCCGCGAGGTGCAAATAGATCCACCGCGCAACGGAGGACTCAAGATCACGATCACCGATAGCGACTCCGACGCGGCGCCATATGTCGGCGCTCCCTCCTGTCGGCCCCCCCATCTGAACTGGCACCAGCCACCAGCAACCACGCCACTGCTGGCGTCGAGGTACGCGAGCCCGTGCGAGCACATGACGGCGACCAGCATGGCGCACAGCTCACCCCCAGGAACGCTCTGACGCGCGCTTGGGGGACTGCCTGCGACAGTGGCTTCCAAGACGAATGGCTTGAACAACTTGACCTGCGCCACTGCAACGCCGACCCAACTGAAAGGAACATCTGCTGAATCTGGGCCGCCGCTAGCATCGGCGAAGTGCCAGAGAGCCCTGGCGGCCGCCCCCTGGCCAAGGGGAATGCTGCGCACACTGACAGCGGCGCGCTCAGAACTGCCGATATTCATGCTTTGCTGGCCCTGGCGCCTCCGCCCATCTCGAAGCTATCATTCCTCGCAGACAGAAGCACTCCTCACTCCCACGCCAAGCGCGCGCCTTTCCCGCGAGGCCCCGCGAGCGGCAACGCGCGGGAGACTCCGCGCTCTGGCCGCGTTCCCAGCCTCGACGAAGCGCGCGCTCATCCCCCGGGTGACACCCTGGGCACACCTTAGATTCTAAACCAGACCTAGCTCCGAGCACCCACGACCCCTGATTCTCTGCATGCTCTCACCTGTGGCCACAAGAAAAAAGACTTCAGCCACGCGGTTGCCTCGAGGCCTGCTCGAAAACTGATAGCACAGCTTGCGACAAGAGAGCGCATGTGCGCCGCGCCCCAACCTGCTCCACGAAATTCTCGCGGCGCCCAGGACAGAGACCGATCGCTGTTTAAAACCTGCAAATCCTCGACCAAACCCTCGGGCGCGTCGACGTCGAGGAAGCACGTCCAGGAACCGCATCTGGAAACCGGCGCCCGACGCCGCCCCCGCCGGACGAGGGCGGCATTGCCCAGCTGATGCCCGACACCGGGCCCCGCCCGCCGTCGAGCGGCAGCGCCACCGCGGCCGACAAAAAGGCGTCGAACGCGACGGGGGCGCGGGCATGGAGCAACGCCCCTTGCGCGCTTTAACACCGTTGGCCACGCTGCTGAAACACCTTTGGAGGGGCCCTGGGACACGCAAATAAATAGACACAAATCCAAGGATTCCCTATATTTTCCCATATTTTCTCGGTTTCTGCGCTCCCCCCAACTGCCCATATTTTTTAATATTTCTGGGGGATCGACGATGAATAGTGTCTGTGTGTCTTTTCTTCCTCCTGAACCTTCTCTCAACCGGGACTCCTGCTGCCGCGCTCTGAACCGCGTCCGGGCGCGCGCCTCGGGCACGCTGCGCGCGGGGTCGGCGGGCGCCGCGCGGGCGACACGAGAGAGGCCAAACGTCGCCCGCGCGCCGACGAGCCGCAGGCGGATCCGAGCCTCCGCCCGCGCGCCGCGCGGCGGGACCCGGAGGCGCTGTGCGCCTGGAACGCGCAGGGCCTGCCGCTTTGGCCTCAAGCCTGCATTTACAACTTGGATGCGAATATGAACTTCCTCGCTCTCCCGGTGGATCTGACATGCCCTCGCCCGCTTCCCGGGTCCGCGGCCGACGCGCCGACCGTCGCGCTGCGCTCGAACTGAGAAGAGTGCCCTGCGATGTGCCTTCGACACGCGCTCAGCATCCTCGCGAAAAGGGCACATGGCCACGCTTCCTTGGCCGCTCGAGTTGGAGCTTGGCCAGCCCCGAGAACATGGCCTTCAAATTCTGAATCAGTTGACGGAGCCCAGCCTGCCAACTGATTGACGCGGCGGATCGCGCGCGGGCAGACCGCGCGCCGCTACTGCAACGCGAAATGCGCCATGATCCGGGCGAAACGCGCGCCTGATCTGAGCCCCTGCACGAGAGTCTGCGCAGGCGCAAGAGGCCCATTTCATTCATTCGGCAAGGCCTAGAGCGCCTCGGGCGCTGGCAGACTGACTCGTACTCAAACTCCCACGCTTCACTTGAGCTCCCTTCTGCAACGTCGACAGACACATGACGTGCATCCCACTAGTGCAACCGTCTCCACTAAGAAAAACGACACCGGCGACTCCACGCACACTCCGCCCATGGCCAACACTATGTTCCCCAGCGCGCCCTCCTCCAAAACCCTCGCATGCACCGCATATGCGGCGCCAGGGCATTGGCCAGCCCGCGTTCCCCCATCCGAACGGCAGACAAAATTGCAACGCTTAGGCAAATCATCCACAAATACTCTTGTCCAAAGTGATTTCAAATCCATGGTTGCGTTGGCCAGATAATACGCTATCAGATTGCGCCCCCGTCGCTGCCACTCCACGGGGCCACGCCGTCGCCGCGTAGGCCCCCGCCCCAAAAGTAGCACGCGGTGCAAATTATCCGCCATATCATAACACAGCTTTTCAGATTCTGGACTCGTCAACAGAGATCTGCCAAAAACAACGTTGCACACCGGCTGGCAATCCACAATAGAAAACAGACATCCATCTCCCCGGCCCCAGTCATTGTCCACAGCTTCCCCGTCAGGGGAATGAGAAATTGGCATGGTCTCAGTCTCCAGGGCGGCGATGGCGCGTCGTCGTTTCGGGGGGCGGCATGGCGCATCCAACAGAAGACCTTCTCGCTCCATCATTTCCGGTAAGTCCCACTGCATGCGAGCTGCGTTGGCGAAGAATGGCAGCTTGCCCATCCACTCTAAGCGGCAACACCCATTCAACTCACGCCGCCAAAACAACCCAAACACCAGCACGAAAACGTCCTCCCACTCTGGACGCTTCCCTCCGCTCGTCGAATGAACGAATCCTTGCCTCGATCGCCAAGAAAACTTTACATCCTTCACTGATTCCCACCAGCTGCGGTCGCGAAAGCAGCGGGCGTCGGCGATGCGGCTCTGACAACCTGGAGAGGACACGCGCGCCTCCCTCCACGCTTCCTTGAAAATATCCGGGAGGGTTCGATGGAAAAAATGATGTTGGCCTTGCAAGCCCAATGTTGGATGAGCCTGGACGCCCGCTGGTTGCATCCAAACTGCCCCTCATTCGGCTTCCGCCGCATCCACGAAACCTTCCGCAACCACTTGTATTCCCACCTCTTGGCCTCCCGCAATAGCGTCGACGTAGCGCGCCACGACTCTGCCCCAAGCAATGCAGATGTACTCGGGCCGTCTCGCCACGCCGCCAACTTGTCAGCAACGCGACCTACACCAAAGAAGGCAGTCGAGTTCAAACACTTCTCGGCTTCGTCGGAACGGAATCCGAAACTCGTTGCAGACGAGCCCGTCGAACCAAGTAATATTCCCAACGCCTCCATCTTGGTCACGTGGTGCATCTGCACGCGGTCGGCCCATTCGTGGAGAGGGGCACCGAGGCTGTCGAAGGCGTTGTCGGTCCAGCGTGCAGGCACTGCAGAGACGAAGCCTTCCATTGCAATTTGAAAAAATGGATTACGTTAGTGAGTTCTTGGCACATGGTGACAAACTCGCCCCTGCATCGAGCGATGGCGAGCACGCTGTCGGCCAAAAAGAGGTGCGCAATAGGAACTCGGCCGCCGCACTTGAAACCGAACCCGCGCCTAGCCCAGCTCCTGATTGACCGAGAGAGCGGCGCGCCACGCACCGCAACACTTCACGGCGTAAAATCGCTGCAGGACAACCCAAATTCCCAACCGCTGGGCCGCAACTATCCCCACTGCATGCAACCGCAAAACCCGTCGATATAGTAGACCGTGCCCTGGTGGAGCGCGCAGCGCGTGACCGACCTCCTCCCGCCACGCCCTGGCGAACGCATCTCGAAGGGCGGCGTTGCCACGGGCGGCTGCGTCCCAGCGCGCAGCCGCGCGGACACTCCACTCGGCAACCAGCGGCCCTCGCACAAAAGACCACGACTTCGCGAACACGCTCAGCAGCCCGACGACCCGGCCAACTCTGCACCTCCGCGGGAGTAGCCAAACCGGCACGACCGTGAATTGGCCGGGCCAGACGACGGGCCCCCGCGAGGAGAGGGCCCGAGGATCTGGCCGCGCGAACCCTGAGCTTGCGAGCTCGCGGAGGACGGCGGCGCGCGCGCGGGGGGGGCGGGAGGGGGGCAAGTCGCGCGATCCCCGCGCGGCCTTCGACGAGCCACCAACGTTGCACGCGCTGCTATGAGTTTGGCCATGTCCGAACTGGCGCCGCGCTGCGCCTGCCTGGCTCGGAGCTGCCCACTCGGGCGGCCTGCGCAAGGAGCCGCCGCCGAGCCCCGCCAGCAAACGGGGTCGCCGCCGAGGCCGCGCCCCCTGCCCCACCTGGCCGCGATCCGACAGCATGAACCTCCTCCTCCTCCTCCTCCTCCTCCTCCCTCCTCCTCCTCCTCCTCCTCCTCCTCCTCCTCCTCCTCCTCCTCCTCCTCCTCCTGCTCCTCATCCTCTTCCTCCTCGGCCTGGAGCCCTGAGGCGGTGATCTCGAAGCTCCGCGCCGCGCGCTCATGGGCTGCTCGAGGGCCTCCAAGCGCGCAGCGCGATCATCAATCACTCGGTTTGCTCCGCATGGAGGCGTCTCCACCGCGGCGCGCCTGAGAAGGGACAGAGCCAGCAGATCGGCAATGCCAGCGGCTGTGCTGCGCCCCGCTGAGATGGCGCTGCCTGGCACGCTCAGCACGCCGGCCCCCCGCCGCCCACCCGGACCTTCGCGCTGCGCAGCATGGACAGCGCAACGCCGGAAGGAGGGCGCCGTCGAAATCTAAATGGTCGCCCCCCCGCCTCCGCTGCTGATGACTCACCTTCCCGCGGAACTCGCGAGCGTCGCAGAAGACCGCCGTCGCCGCGAGCTTGCGCCTCCTTTCACGGCAAGGCAGCGCGTCGTGGAGATAGGCCGCTTCGTAGTCGCAGCTGGAGGCCGCGCCAGTCCCCCAGGAGTAGTTGGCGCAGCTGGAGGCCGCGCCATTCCCCCAGAAGCAGCTGGCGCCCGCGCTGGCCCCTCGCGGCTCGACGCGCGGCCTCCTCGCTCGGCTCCAGCTCCGAGCCCAGAGGCGAAGCAGCCCGGTCGGGCGAATGCCTCCATCGGCCCGCCGCAGGAGAGCGCCGACTGCCACTCAGACGCCTCTGCAAGCGGGCCTCGCCCCCGCGCCGCCAGAATCTGAGCCGGCCTCGAAACCCAGGGCCGCAGAAGAACCCGACCAGCCTCGCGCGGGGGTCAC